CCCCAAAACCCCAAAACCCCAAAACCCCATTTCTCAATCTATGGTTAAACTATTTAAATTATTTATGTCAGTCACTCCAAGTAAGACCTTTGAGAGTTCATCTATAGGTTCAGACCAGAAGGATCCAACCAGGATTTCCTTGAAATACAATGTAGTGAATATCCAGCCTGTTTATATTAAACTCTAAATGGGTTCAAAAGGCAACGGAGATATAATAAGTAAGAATCCTAACATTTCGCCTAATTTTCTTGGAAAGTTTTGAGCTTTTGTAGTAAATCAGCTCTCGAGATCGTCCGTGACCTTAGAAAGATAAAAAATCAGTACTCAAGCTTAAAGAAAAAAGAATATATCTTCTCAAACTCTTTGATTCAGAAAGAGTCTATTAAGAAACTGAAGGACCTTTTCGAAAAGTCAACTATTGAGATTACTAGCAGTAAGAGAAGTAAAGCCATTAGAAGCAAGCATGGAGGTATTTAAACTTCAGGAGAATCAATTCAGGTATGCTTACCACCTATAGACTCTTGCTACTTCAATCTTTGGATAAATTTACCCTAATTTTTACACATTTACTGTTCATTCATCAAAATATTTAATAACAGATTCATAATAATATTTCCAGAAAAACTTCAAGTAAGAGGAGAGGGGGGAAGAAGATAAATTTGAAAAAGCACCATCAGTCGAATGTAAATTCTTCGAATAATGTCAGAATAGATGTAAGTGTGTCCTTCCATTAGCTAAAGGATGATCCATTCGACAATGTTAATATACAACCAATCACCTCTATCAGCTTTTTGAACTCTAAGTAAAACTACTGAGAGAGGCCGAGATTTGAAGGCTAGAATCAAAGAGAATAGCAAATAAACTGTCTAAAAGAATCGCCCTTAGGAGGTTTAGTAAGAAAGCGAAGAGATCTGATAAAAGAAAATAACCCTTATTTTCATAAGAACTTCTCAAACCAAAATCTTGATGACTGCCTTCTTTCAGAGAAGGCAGATCAGCAGTCTAGCCTTGGTACTCTAGAACCCAGAAGGCCTATCTCTGCGGTCCCTTTTAGTGGCATGCTCAAGAATCGGAAATATTGACCTATCAATAGTGTTCAGATACGGTATGATGAGAAGGTAGATGCAATGAGGACTACAAAAATCAAGAGGATTTATAAGAAAATTACACCAAAACATTCCAATAATCCTTTGAACAGCAAGAACTTGCCTAGTAATTTTTACGATAGTCCCAAGAGCAGATCTGGGTATAATTTCTCAGTGTACAGCTTCAGTCTACCAAAGCGGAAGCCTAAGGAGAATGTATTTAATCAAAGAGGACATTCTATTCAAGCATAAAGTGCTTAATCAGAAGCCAATTTCAACAAGATTTCCCAAAATGGGGTTTTGGGGTTTTGGGGTTTTGGGG